AACTGAAGCCACGAGGCAAACTTGGAAGACAGGAAATTTGTTATTTGCAAATCAGACACAATGAATAAATGAACTAATGATCATCCCCACATGGATTTGTTACAACTGATTAGGCAAAAAAAAAAACATGCCTAAAATGCAACCAATTAGCAGAAACCCAATTACAAGGCTCCAAAGTACCTTTTCTCAACAAAATAGCCACTTGCATTATATACTCAACCAAAAAATCCGACAATACTCACAATTGTTGAAACTCGATCAGTTAGGTTTGCTTCTACACTAAATCGTCTGGCCCCCCAAGCACAACCTGCCATGAAATGATCTCTTTTATTAGTTTGCACAAGAGTGTTGAACCAAGTAATAACTTGTATGTCGGGTTCCGTTTTATAGAAAAATATTGGTAGGAATTTGGTGCAAGCATACTAGGGTGGAATCAGCATACAGTCTGGAGTGAGAGAAGGTACATACATTGCAATCAAGAGAATATTTCCTGGCAACCATAATGGCAGCATTTCTTCTCGCTCTGATTCAAATGTCAATACAAACGAGAGCCCCTTTCTAGCTTGCCCAAAACAGTGCCTTCGCTGCATTACCGGCATCACTTCTAACTCCACACAACTGGGAATCAATTGAAGGTTAGTATAACAAATGAAGCCTAGCAAAGAAATTGAAGAATTTACATGTCACCACATATGCTTTATAAGGATAAGATATTGTAGTTCAACAATTTAGTGACCCTACTCAGGAATAGAATGTAGCAATTCCAAATGCAAAAGAAAATTGACAGTCAATGCCAGGGGAAGAAATACTCTTGCGAGATGAGAAAGGAATTAATGCAACAATTAGATAAATTATTGTTAGCTTTTAACCTTCAATTTGGGGACATCCTCAGCACAAGTAAAAAGGCAACAACCAAAACAAGTACCTGCATTGCCGGTGAGTAAATTTCTCTAGCTTTGTTATCCAACCTCTACATAGCTTTATCCTCATTTTCCCCACATGAAATGCATGACCAGAAATGTGATGAGTGATCTTGTCCATTCATCTGAGAAATAACTACCTGTTCAATGTCAAAGACCAGATGTCATAAGGACTATGGCGTCAAGAATTCCCATTTGTTGACACCTGATAACAAAGTTATGCAGTAACTCTCTCATGATTAACATATAGTAATAAAGACTTTCCACTTTGTGTGTTTCATGCAAAGGCTTCAAAACTTAGAACCGCTTTTCTCTAAACAAATACACAATATGACACAGATTCCACCTCAGACTCGCACAAAAGATCCTGGTAATTCTTGGCACAATTTACATACTCTTGTTAAGTTGAGATGCAGCAAAGCTCTTTCATGTTAAGTATATTTAAAAAAAAAAATTGAAGCAGATAAATTTCATGCACCAAGAATCTCAAGATCAGTCAGGAAAGCAGCCAGATTTTTAGAAATTGAAGAAACAAGATGATCATAAATTTCCACAGGCATGGTGAACTATTTTTCAGTCAGGAGCAATTAAAATTACTGGAAACGAAAATGCAAGGGATAACATACATTAAATTCTGAATTAGACTTTCGTAGAAGTGTCTCCACATGGCTTCCAAGTCCTGCAACTGTCAGAAATTAAATAGTTAACCTCTCACTTCTAAATAATGTGGGAAACAAATTAGCCTCAAGCTAACTGTGATCAACATCTCAATTTAGAAATAATTCGTTAGCAAAAAACAAGATATCCAGAATCAAAACCAACCAGGCTGAATAGGACCAGTCGTTATTGTAAGTTTTTTGCCATCGGAAACAATGTCTACTTGTAAGACTCTCCCAACATCAAAAGGGTCTGGAGCAAAAATTGATTGGCTGGCTCCTGATGAGAAAGGCAAGCCACATCAGAGGGAGAACAAAAATCAAAATCCTGGTGGACTAATTGGTCGTCGGATACTAAATTCCTAACAGAGCAAATAAGAGCATGATTAAATTCAAAAAAATAACATATAAAACGACTGATATAGAACTAAAGAAGATATAAATATGATCCTACCACCTAATGGAAGTCATACGTTTGTTGAGACGTTCAATCATAATATAATTCAATTTTTCCGTGTCCACAAAAACTTAATTGGAACTTCCAGAAGGAACCACCATGTTCAATAGAATCAGTTGAAAATATTATCTAACAGATGATCCAAGCACAGCAAGAACTAAATGCACCATCTGCTTGTGATGTGATAAATTATGCTCTGTAAAGAAATGCAAGCACTTCCAAGACCACCCAATCTGGAAACAGGAAATAAATTTACAGTGAATTTTAAATCAATAAATTATACCTGAAATTGCTTCCCTCCAGCTGCCTTCAGATGACAAGCGGTACCATTGAAATGAGCATTTTGAAATAGGTGACACCTCCTCTGAGCAAGGCTGCACTCGTAGGCATGAACCTAATGCTTCAGAACCATCTAGTTTATATAAACAATATTTGTTTTCCTCACTCCTCTTGCTCATTGTTAGCTGGAAAGGAGGAAATAAAATTATTAATATTCAAGAGTATGAAAATTGTAGGTTAATTGTAAGTTGTAAATGATAACTGATAGTACAGAAGATGGGGTACTTCGGACATAAATTACATCAGGTTTCAAATGACTTAACTAGTAGTAAAACAAATGGCTTCGTAGAATCATTTGCCTTAAAAAAGCTAAGAACTGTCGAAAGATGTTAATGATAAAAAAAAAATGTACCTTTTCTTTTCTAAGAAAAGCTAAACTACTAACGTTTCTCCTCTTTTAGTTCATATCATCTTTAAGTTACATTCGTTATTGGAGATTTTCCCTAAATTATTTTTCTATAAGTGGTCCAAGTTCCAAGGTGAAGAGTAATTTTAAGAAAATGTAATCAAATCCGAAGTAGCCAGCTGACCTAAGGTTTAGTTATTAAGTAATTACTCTTTACTCATTAGTGAAGACAGAACTCATAATTTTCAAGGAAAAAATATTTTATTTTAAACATCACTATCATGCAGCTAAGAGAATCGTGAAAAATCTACCAGTTTGTTATTATTGTGTCAGTAGAATTAAAATTAGATTTAAGATCCATTCAACCATTCTACATAGTAGAATAATCCACATAGTTCAGCCAGTAAAAACTAGATTTCAACCAACCTCTTTCTGAAGTTTAATGGAAAAAATAGATTTTTCTCGAATTTGATCCCTTAAAGCACGAAGTTCATGTTCCATGGCCATCAACTGAAAATATCATAAAGAAATGCAATTGATCAATTTTTCATCATTATAAGAATATATGAATTTGGATGCCATATATAGGAAAATTATTGTCATTCTTATTAAACTGTGTTAAAAGTGGGATTCATCATTCCCATTAGTGCTGACATCGTCGTTGGCATCAGTCATCACCACTATCATCATTGAAATTGTTGTTGTTGTTATACCATTTATAATGACTCAGAAAATCAAGAAAAATATCCACTCAGCAAACAAAAAACAAGCGCACCTTGCTTGGCTGATGCAACAATTTGATCCTTCTAGCCTCCTGAACCTCTTCAACTAGTTCACCCACATCCTGACAGTAAGGAACATCAGATAGTGTATATCTGCCATACTCAACAAGGAAATAACTGCGTAGTATTTATGATTCATCTTTAATATATTTCTATAACCAATTACTGTTATAAAGTGAAGGATGCTAGAACATGATATGAAGGCTCAAAGCAAAAGATCAGCAAGGAATCACCTTCTGTGATAATAATATAGCCTCTTTCAAACCCGCGACTAGCTGACTTACTCTCTCAGTCCCATTTACCTTTTCCATTTTCCTTTTCAGGATGATCATAGTTGTGAATATAGCCTTGATAGAAGTAAATTAAAAGTAAATTTCCTCTCCCATCCTAATCCTTCAAGTTTTTCTTTTAAAAGAGGTTGAGGGTATTTTTAAGCAATCACTGACAGAAATGATGCCTTGTACAAAGAACGTAAAATACCTTCTTAAAAGTTCAGAAAAATTCATATATGCCATATAAGGTGGGCCACAAGATGTATGGGATATATCACAGATACATTCAGTTCAGACATCTCTAATTCACTAGGGGCAATAAGCAGCCTATGATATTTTATAATTTATAGGTGAGTTTGCATTGGTGTCAATAAGCAGATCAATTTCTCAAAGGTTTACAGGGATGCTTGGGAGAATGTTATCTGACGGCAGTGTCTTCACCCACTAACTTTTTTTTCTTTTTCCTTTGTCCTTTTCTTTTTTACCTTTTCTTCTCCCCCTTTTTTTGCCTTATCCAACCAAACTTTACAAGAACTCTAGAGTATCCAAATTCCAGATTCTTCAGCTCACTGAAAATGAACCCGTATTTTCTTTCATAAGCCCATATTACTTGGAAGTTCTTTCATATATCTCACATATGATTCTTCCTTCACATGACATCAGACCATCGATGCAAGCGTCAGAAGACACACGTGCATACATATGTAATAAAAAACTTGCAGAGAACCTGTGCCTTAGAGGCTTGGGAAGCATTCTCTTGTTCCTCAAGGGCCTCCCCAATTCTTAGCACCACTGCCCTAGCACTCTCAATTTCAGCACAAGCAAAAGACTTTTCTTGATTGACTAATTTTTTTGCATCTTCAGAAGCCTGAAAAACAAGGGTTGTTTCAGTGTAAAGAAAGAAAAATGCATGAGCTACAAAATAAAAAATAACAGTGTAGGGAATACTTTAGAAGGAAAAACAATGATTCCTACGTGAAACAAAACTGAACAACCATCACCACTGGCAGAAATTTCAGATATTTTTACCTTGAACAGGAGAAGAAAGAAATTCATTTGCCCTCACTAATCAATAGCATTAAATAGAGCTTAGCAAAGTTTGTAATTACAGCTCATTTGAATTAAAAAAGAGAGAGAGCGATTTCAAGAGCAACTCATTTTCAAAGCACATATGATCTAATGATCATATATTCGAGACCCAACCCACATTTAGTATCTGATGCAAGGATTGAACAGTCTCGCTAGTTCACGTTGTGCTCAACTACAATTAGTGATTACTCCAGACTCCAGAGCTCTTAGGATCATACGAAACAGTATATATCAACCTTAATTTGGCTTCACAATGATTGACCCATGAATCAATAAACCAAATATAATCTACATATAAAATGCTTATCTTACACACACAAATTAATGTAAGAAATGCCCATTACGGTCTTTCTTTGTCTTATAGGATAGAGAACCATAACAAAAAAAAGGCATTCAAATAACCTTTAAAACAAGGTAAAAAATGCCACAGAAGACCTGTTTGAGAAAATTCACTAGCTTTTTCACTTCAAACTTTTCTTGAATCAATTCACCTTCCTTTTGAGTCAACTTGACTGCCAAAGCTTCCACCTGCATGTTTCAGTGTGAGAACCCAGCATAAGTAACATAGGATTAAAGATGGTTGGGGAAGGGGGGATTCGTTCTCCTGATCCATGTACTGAGAATGGCATTTGAAAACCAGACAGATAGCCCCAAAAAATTCGAGCCACCTTCCATATGGTCATTGGCTACTGTCATTTTTCTTTCTAATAATTTGAAAAGGTGATTTACAAGTTGGCAATTGACTTTCATATTGCAGCAGTTTCAACTTATGTCAACAGAAGTGGCTATAAAGGAAGTCCACTGGTCAGTCATGCACTTTTTCATCGCGTGCGTGCGTGCGTGCGTTTCTGTGGGTGTCACTTGCTTGCCATTTTAAACTTTGAACAAAGAAGTAACTCGTTAAATAAAATAGTATAAAATACAAACCATAGAGATAGCTTTCTCCACATCCTCCTTATTTTTTCCTGCTAAACGGCCTCTTAAGGAGTCTAATGCATCTCTTAGCTTTTTCAAAAGAACATGTCCCTCTAATGATGCCACCTCTCTCAGCTTTGCCTGATTTCCATGAAAATTATAAAAGTTTGTAGCACCATCAGAAGTTGATAAAAGATATGATGCAAACAAATTGCGAAATATTCTGGCAAAAAAAGAAAGAAAAAAAATTGCATGATAAGAATGAACTGACTGAAATGTGGATTAAAGTCAGTAACACCCATCTTTTGAACATAGAAAAGGTAACCAGTTGAATAGGAAAAAGGGACAAATCTAATGTGAATTTGATAAACTATGGCTGGTAGTAAAGGAATATAAAATTGCAGACCAGAGGTAGGTTGAATGACGAGAACCTCATTAGACAGCTTAGCTGCTGCAGTCAAGTTTTTGTCAAATTTAATGGCAAGGTCACGGACTGAGAGACGCTTGTGCTGCTCTGACAAATGGGAAGCTTCCTGCTCAATAACCTCCTTCAATAAAGGACCTTGGTTATCCTCTATTGCTCTTCCAGAATTTGATTTTCAGGTCCTAGTTTATATTTGGGAAAACTGTTAGAAGCAAAGCTCACATCAGCTGAAACTGGCAGAACTGCTTCCATTGGCATCTTGATCTCAACAACAGGACTTATCTTTGTCATGATCCAGATAGGACTTCTGGTCAAAGCAAATGGAAAATAACGTAGCATTAGTTTAGATAATTAGATTACACTGAAGGAAATTTCCCTAATGAATCTAGTGTGTGCATATGTTCAAGACAAGAAGACTACTTTGATGGGCTGCAGCAATCAATCAGGCTCAGCTTAGAGAGTCCCAAACAATTTTCTTTTCTTTTGTTTTTTTTTTTTTTTTTTGGATGGGTGCATGATGGAGACATATTGAATTATTTGTCTCGCATTTTACTAGAAGAAAATGTAGCGGTGAAAGTGGTTGTACTAATAGCAGCCGCAGCAGCCGAGGGGTTGGTCAAATGGAAAATGGAGTCATAAAAACCAAGTGCCATAGAAGGTTTCAATCACACAAACATTAGTTTCATTAGTTTCTTCATTTGGGTGGAAAAGAGTAACAAGAGCAGTCATCAACTTGAAAATAACCAAAAGAGGATCAAATTATTTTTCTCGTTCGCGCAGTTGTTGCAAAGAAGAAAGAAGGTAAAACTTATTATACTTGTTAATCAGAATCATTAGCCGTCGTCCAGACGAATTCGAAGAAATAATAGCCATGGTTGTATAAGCTGCTTAACAATTAATAAAAATCGCAAAATGACAAAGAAGCCTGGTACACAGTAGCCAATGATAAAGATAGAAAACCCTCTTCCCGGGGGTCGATAAAGTGAAAGCGTTGTTCACATAAGATCATGCAGGACATTTTCTTTCACCGGCAACGATTGATTACGAGCTACATAACTACATCACTGAGTTCTAGGAACCCACATTACTAATTTTAGTGCACCTAACATAATAATTTTCTGCTTAATTCACTTGACATGAAACAAAAGAACAAGTAAAAGAATAAAAGGTAGGACATGCACTTGTGGCAACAAAAAGTAAACGGAAAATCACACAGCTGAACAAACGAGAAAGCATCAGGAATGACAGTCTCCGTTGGATGCAATAAAATGAGGAAACCAAAATGGGTCAGAAGAATGCAGCAGGGAGCGTTTAGTAGAACTTACAAGCTGAGACCAAAATGGGTGATCAAAACATAGAGCTAAGCTCAAGAAAGTGCAAACAGATAGTTCGCCAGTACGTTTTGCAGAAGGGGAAGAAGGCGGGTAACGGGGAAGGATGGAGGGTGAGCACAGAGAGAGAGGGAAAAGGAGAGAGAGTTACGGACAGAGGAAGAAGGAGAAGAATCTTAAGGGGAGGTTTAGCGTTGCTTTTTCAAAAGGTGAAGTAAAAGCTTCTGTGGCTGACCCGTTTGTGTCCCCTGAATAAAATGGATTAGTTAATGTTCCACCATGTGAGAAGGGTAATGTAACCCTGAGGTGAAATTGTAGACACTGAAAAAGTAGAAATGGACCATGTTCTTCACAAATGAGCTGGGTACGACCATGTTCTTCCGCTCCTTTACAGAGCATCGAGGAGAGAGGTTGGGGGGGGGGTGTTGGTGAATTCGGTCGTGGAGCCTGAGCTGGTAAAGCTGTAGGAGAAATAAAGAAAACGAAATAAAGGAATAAATTTTTATGGGCCTTATTATTCCATTTTTACTCACTTTCCTTCTCCTGGTCGGTTGAAAAGCACTCTGATCTTGGTGTCGTTCAATCTTCAATGCCTGGTTTCCTACCCCGCACCACCATCACCCTTTGACTTCTTAGTTTGACCAATACGTAAAATTTACTTTAATTATAAACATTTATTATCTCTGTTAACGTTGATTGTCTTCTGTTTTATCAGTAAAAGGAAAAAAAAAGAAGATAATCTTACGTTCGTGTATTGGAACAAGTTCTTTTATAAGCAGGTCAGCACTATCTGTTAATTCAAAATTTATAATAATAAGTTCATGAATTTTTCAACTTTCATGTCTTTTATTGACTCCAATTCTACTGTAACATCTTAATTTATTATTGTTGTTAGTTCGCGACTTAATAAATAAAAAAATAATATGACTTGATATAAATTTTATATTTGATATTGATATTAGTAATTTAATCTTATGATGACACCTCTTGGAGCATCATAAATTTTCCGTAACATCAAAATTAAAAATTCGTTCGATGATCGAAAGCTTTCCACTCCTCCATCATTCGAGGCCCTTCAGCTAATCAATGAATTCGTAATAATATATGTAACATTGAAATATTCGTAAAGCCTTCTCTTTGATCGCATTTTCTTTCCGGCCAACCCCTTTTTATCCCTTTGGTGGACCATAATTTTGTGAATAGTCTATTCTGTGTATGTTACAGATCACTTTATATTCTTTAATTAAGTATTCCGTGTTAGAAAATTTTATGATTGACACTCTGATATTAAAAATTACATTTAAACTATAAGGCGTAAACAACAAACCTTGCCGGTGCGGGGACAAGTATACGTACATCCTGATACATTATTGCTGTGAGAAATATAAACAAAAGTGAGAGAAATTTGTACATTGGTCTTCTCGGCCGTCAATATCCAGGATGGGTCCGATGCTTGGATACAAGAGTATCGTGTATTTGATTGAGTGAAGAGAGGGACCAAGAATCTATTATGACCTAAACTCACAAAAGAGTATTAATAATTGGCTACTCATTTTTCGGTGAACGATTGGTGAATGTACTCCTTGTATTTTGAATGATACAATCTTTATTTGGCCAAAAAAAATTGGCTACTCATTTCTATTTATATAGTGTTCATGGACCAAGTTAATATAAATTACTAACATTCCACACGGATTATAGTCATCATAGAATACATTCAATGATCGATATATTGATCTTACATGATGTTTATTCCAATGTTTAGATATAAATATATTATTTCAGCCAACTATCGAAGTTCGTTATCATCAAAAGTTCTAAATAACATTTCGTCTTTTGTAATATCTCTGAAAACTTCATTTATTGACTTTAAAGTCCACATATTGTCTTACCAACAAGCTGATTATAGTGGAAAGAAGTCATGTCCAGCTAAGCATAAAGTTTAATCCTTGTTCATCTTGATTGATAAGCTCATAGATGTGTTGTTCTGATTTGTGTTATCAAACCTAATTTTTTTTCAATGGTTCTTTGGTATACTTTATTTGGCCGATGAAGATTTATTCTCTCATTTATTTGATTTAAAACTTAAAAAAGTTCAATTTGTTTATCATTGACATTTTAAATTCTCCCTACACAATCTTGACAATTTCTTTTGTAAATATTCTTAATTTCTTATTAATAATTTCAAAAGTAGTATCATCCACGTAAATTTAAATTACTAAAACATTATCACCTTCTTTTCTAAAAAGCAAAGTTTTACCTGCCAAATCTCTTTTCAAGTTCATTGAATGGTCATATAAAAAAAAACACATGACCCCTCAATCCGGAATTATGGGCCTACTGTCATATTGTGAATCTATAGACCAAGTGTGTGTATATTTGGATTAGAGATTGGATAAAATTGAAGCTTCCAATAATTTGCAAACTTTAATTTTGATAAATCAGTTACCCCACACACACACACACACACCATGATTTATGCAAACACATTAAAAAAAAGCTTTGCAAATTAAACCCAGGTTTATACAAGGAGCAAAAACCACTTGGATTAAGCTCATCCAAATAAGAAATAAGTGCTTTTTTAGATTAGCATTTACGTACAAAGCTGAAGCTTTCACAAAATCTATCATAAACCCAACAACTCCAAAATTAATAGCAATTTTTTTTGTCTCGAGCTGAAATGAAAATACAAACGAGGTTTTGTCCAGTAGTGAAATTATATCACGCAAATTATTAATTTACGCAATTCAACTATTATTCAACAGTGTTTGTTTAATTCATTTGAATCTATACATTGCTTGACATCAGTAGACTGGCAGTTGATAAACAAGATCGACGGTGGGTGGTGCTTGTAATCAAAATCATTAGTACGAACGTTAGCTAGCCTGTGTCTTCTTTATTGGTAGTGTTATCATTGGATGTTGAAATGATTTTGGGTATGAATTAGTTGATGTTTATTAATGTGTTTTCATTTAACCGATTCAACATTAAATATCCAAACATTCGTTTTGCAAATCCAGTTGTAAAGAAAATAAGCTATAAATGATAGCTTTGTCCAATAAATATTGCTCGAACACTGGATTCTAGAGTGCAAGATTGTCAACTTGTTTTGCTTGCTTTCTGGAGAGCAAAGTCAAAAATTGAAAGTAACGATCCACTCGTGAATGATCAGATCTTGTATCGTAGATTGCTCTCGCAAGACGGTGATGGTTAGAGTCCTTTGGATAAGGTCAAGAGCCTCTAACAAGAGCTGATCATTCTTTCTAATTTTTTTTTTTTTATGACCCATTTAGTCCTCATACAAGCACAATTTTTCTTTGTTTTGAACTTTTGATACGAGAGCCCACCGACCAGAAAGGCGTTAGACACATGTGGGATTTCAATGACACAAAAAATAAATGGTATATTGCAGTCACGTGGAAGAGGGATCTCGCGTCCTCAAAGAAATCACATATGAACGGTTGGAGGACGAGAATACGACAATTAGCTGTGAAAGCAAGGCGTGAACTTTGTTTTATACACTCTCACATCAATGAGAATAAGTTCTGCTGCAAGATATAATGCACCAGAAAGCAAACGACAAACCAGATCCTAAATGGGCGTTCGTCTCTAGCAGAAAAAATTGAGAATGACTGAAGCCAAGTCTGCGAAATTATTCTCATGATGCCAGCTATTAGGTTGATGCTTTTCTGGTGGTATCAAAACAGGAAAGCTTGAGGGCTTCCCTTTCCTTTCCGGCGGGGTTAAAAATGTAAGAGTAAAGAGATTTAGAAAGCAAAAAAGCTTTGCTTAGGCTAGGGACAAGAATGATTAAAGAGACGAGTTAAGGAGGAAGTATCATAATGGATCAGGAGTTTAAATATTATCAGAATATGCCGGGACTAAAAGAATATTGGATAGTGCAAGTCAGTAATGGCCATTTGATGAGTTAATCCTGCAGATCGTTACCGTCCATACTAAGTAATTAGAAAGTAAAAGCGCGTGTGATTAGGGGAAACGATGGGAGTGATGAGACTGATTAAAAAAGGGGAATAGAATTATAGAAAGTGGGGTTATGATATTCATAACGGCCATTTTGGACCGATGCTTTTGAGACCATTCGATGCGGATCACCTTGTTCGGTATCACGAGGCCAATGTTGACGGAATTGCTTTCCTATTCCAACGAAGTGCTTTGTTTGGCAAGGCTCCATTTCTCGTGTAATAAAGGCTCCGGATCATATCATAGGATGTGATGCTTTTCGTATGTGTCAAGTGCACTTTAGTCACCCTTCGATTAACATATCATCTTGGGGATAATGGGATTTTTTTTTTAATAATTTATCTAACCCCTACCCATAGGGAAAGGGATCTCACACACACCCATACATCACCCGCAACAATTTCTCACACACAAGAATTTTATCCCCTTTTAATTGAGGTTTGATCCTTTAACCTCTTGCATCAAGAGATGGGATCACAACTATGAGTGACACTAGATCAAAGGGTCATATAGGATTCCGCTGTAATTTAGCCATTTTTAAGGGGGGAAATGAACACGCCGATAATACTGATGCTACTAAAGGTGATGAGAGGCATGAAGCTCCTGATGAACGTGGAGACATGTACTATCCCCCATATAGTTTGGTTTTAGCTAAACGAATTTTGGTCTTCTGATTTACACATCTGATCTTTCGTAATTTTTGGTTTTCCATAAGATAATAAGATACCAAAATAAAGTCTTGGTTTTCTCATCATGTTAGATTCCTAGCCTTTGCCTGTTACCCCCTCTCTTTCTCAGTTGGTGTTACAATGAGTGGAGATGGGTGGAGAATTTGTCAAGTCGTCGTCACTTAATCAACCTACCCAGTTGCCCTTAATTATTATGTCATCCCTTCAAACTATCAAGAAAGCAGAGCTATAACCACTGTCTTTGCATGTACTTATAACCTTTAGACTTTTGATTATGATATAGTACTGTCTTTCTCTTCGGATGAAGCAAGCAGAGAGATAAGGGCACAATTATCAGCAAAGACTCAATCGACTAGTTAATGAATATTCCGATTAACGCATGCTTGATTGTTTTCACCCTTCTCTGCCCCGTATATTAATTATATAAATGGACTGAGAACGTGGGCGAGGAGACTAGGGTTCAATGTTTTGACTCTGACACAAACGGTGAGTGACCTCTTGCTAGTGTTGTCGGGCAGAGTTGAGTCTTTTTCTTGTCTTTCTCTTTTTAGCCTTCTTTCTTTAACTTTTTGAGCCCTGTACGTCTTTAATTAATTAAGAGTGCCCATTTTATAGTATACGTGATTGGCAATCTAAATAAGCAAGGTGGCAGTGGCATCACTTTTTTATCTCACGATGCAAGAGCTATGGGGTCTTTGAGTAGCTAGCAGCCCTCATCGCAGGCACATGGTAGGGTCCAAATTATTCGTTCACAATGGCC